AGTTGACCTGGGATCTATCTCAGTCGGATCTACGCAAGCCCTGTTGCAATAAGTTGTGTCGGGTATGATCATTCCCATTAACTTTCAATGGGCGCTTAAGACCAAGACCTTATCCGACATGATTTTCTGTCGGATCGGACGCAAAATCGGATTCGGTGTGTTCTGGCCTTAAGGTAAAAAAGTCCAGGAAGAGTTGGACGGATCTTGGCTTTTTTAATAGCTAATTTAAAATGACTTGCTCTGGAATTAAAGGCTGTAGAACTTCAATATCAAGCTAAAGTCGACAGCTATATATGAGGAACCATAACAAGGGCCTTAATTTAACTCTAAAGCCAGAAGGAGGATCTGTTAATAGCAATAAAGCCTATTTAATCATGCTCACTGAGAATTCCAGAGGTCGTGTTTCTTGCAATTTCTGGTTCCTGGTCCAAAAACACATTGACTTTGGCAAAACTGACTGTATACTGAGGTACTTTATCCATTCGATTCAGGTGTGTTGGACCTACAACATATATAGAGTTTGCAGCTCTCAGGAACTAGAATTGCCCATTCCTGCTTTAGTCATAAGTTTAAAAACTACTGGGATCTGAAATTTCTTCTGCTCAATTAACAGCTTAATAGCCATCTGTGAAAACAATGATTAACATTGCATGTGTACCATCATGGAAACTTTTTGACATTCCAATTGAATTCTGTTTTGTGGAGTACTCCGATTTTCTAATGTAGTCGTTGAACTAAAGTTTAATCAGGTCTCAGTAATCTGATATACAAAGCAATCAAACCAAATTACTTAGAAATTAAAAATTTGGATGCAAACGCTGAATTCTAGTATATGGGAATTAAGTATTGAACACGCTTAGAAAGATTTGTGAATTGCTTTGAAGAAAAAACATTCTAGGTATTAACCCCACGATATCTCCTGAAGAAAGTAGTACTATGGATTGCGGAGGTGGGATATTTATCCATTCTGCCACGCAAATAGTTTTGAACTCTTCTGGGCTCCTTAATATGCTTTCTGAACTTTTTCTTTTTCATTAATTTGCAACACAATAAAAATCCTCACTGTCAGGATAACGGGGTTGCTTCTTACTAGTCGTAAACATTATTTTGCATTGGGAAAAGTCTTTTTTTTAAAGGGCTTTAATTAATATACACACATTTAATACCAAAAAATAGTAGGACCGTTTTCTACACTAGGAGCTAAAAGAGTTTCTGCTTCTCAGCTTACGGCCTCTAACTTCTCATGTTCTAATTCCATATACATTTCAATTATTTTTACCTCATTTGTTCATATATCTTTCTATATATGTATTACCGTAGTTTGGGTTGTTGCTGTCCTGTGTTGGGATTTTTAGGTCAATACCTCACTTACAAATATCATGACTGAGAAAAACACTTAGCTTCAGTACTGGTTTAAAAGCTGTATCTGTTTATTAAGCTCTATAAATAATAAAATTAAAAAGATTAGCTATCCCTTTTATTGTAACTGTTTAAGTCACACTGGGTACATCCTAAAAAACTGCGAACAGAACGGAGTGATTGGTCTGGGATCGTGTGAATGACTTTGTGACGCTATGAAAATGTCCATCTGGTTTATATTTGATTAGCAGAGATCCCGTGAAAATGAACGTATTCTGACAATCCATCCATCACTAAGAGAAAATCAAGTTCAGCTGTCAGAGGAGACAGAGATTAAATGGACTCTGACTAAAGACTCTCCGCAAACCACACTATCACATTAGAAGCATGAAAGAGCTGAAACTGAAATCGTTGTGGTGAGAAGAGAAAGGAGCAACAGAGGGGGGAAGCTGGCTATCACATGAACACACACACAAATCCAAACATCAGGGTTAGCAGGACATTTGAATGCCCTGCTGCTCCCAGGATTCCGGTCAAAGGGTAGAGACCTGGGCAGCCATCTGTCCTCTCCTCTGCCACTATGCTGCAGGACATGCAAAACACAGAGCTGTGCATGTATGCAGGGAGAAAAAAAACAACAAAGCATACACTCTGACTAACTGTCTGGGTCGGGCTCAGTTTTGCCCTTGCAGAGAAATCCCCTTGCATGTCTTTTGCCCTTTTACCGTTTAAATGTGCATCTGCACTGCAATGGCATTTAAAAAGATGAAAGCTTTTGAAGTTTAAAGTGTTATTCAGTTATTCTATACGTGTCTGCTGGTTGCGTATCAGTAAAGTATTACCTATTTTTTTTGTTTTAACCATTTAATCTAAATCTTACGTAGCATCCAAGCCAATCTCAAGCTTTTAAATGCTGTTCAACAGAGGCTTTTAATATCTGTTTTTGAATTTCTTACACTGCAGTTATTTTTACAGTGCAACAGTATTTGACTATGTAAAAGCCTGGAAAACCTCCTCTTTCTACCACTGAAAATAACCTTATTCTCAGCAAAAAAAAAAAAAAAAAAAAAGTAGGAGGCTCTTATCAATGACAATATTACCGTATATAATAATAGCAAATGTATTCTTAACTTAGCATACAGTTAAGTACAGTACAGTCCTGTACTTTCAGCAAAGACTGCAAGATTACAAACAACACAAGATGAAGAAATCATGGCTGTTAGCCCCATTTTTGGAGCTTCTTTGTGTCATTCAAGAATGATGGTACTTTCTTTCCAAAATGCCTGCAAAAAAATACTCAGTCATCAGGTTCATTGCAACCAAGACAGGGTTAAATATGAGGCAACTCGACCTTTACTGAGCTTTGCTGGACATTTCAACAACTCCCCAAGAGTCTATGTCAAATCTATCGGCTGGCGCTAGATGTTTTTGAGGAACATGGAGAATCATCCTCCCAAGTATTTGTCAGAAGTGGTCCTCTGCAGCTCTGACTCCTATACTGAAGAAACCAAAAGAAAACTACCCAAATGCATGGTGCAGCACAGGAGAGCTGGCAGCTCTGGGCAAGATTCAGCTGTACACTTGCACCTACTCTAAAGAGCAACAGACACAGAAATAAGTTACACAAGCCCACTCATCATGAATCAAATGCCCAAACACAAAATAATAAAATGTTCTTGCTTTTCGAATACATTTCACTCAATCCTGTGAACTAGTATGAATTATTTAGATATTAATTAAGCAGAACTTTAATAACTCAGATAGAATTTACTTTCATAAGGAAGGACTGGCTGATTAGTTGACAGTGGGTGTGGGTGTGGCTTGTGTGAGTGAGGCGGCTGTTATGTTAAATGTTGGCTGGGTTGCTCAATGTCAAAACTCAACTGATATAGAATTGGTGAATTAAATTATTTCTATAATAATGCTTGATTTTTAATATATTATGAAAGACAATAACATTTTTACATATATCAAAGATAATCAGTACTACTACTGACATGTAGAGTTGCTTTTTTTTATTGCTGCTTCCTTCTCTATGTCTACATCTGTCTCCTTGAACCCCAGTCAGCCTCGGCAGATGGCCGCTCACACTGAGCCTGATTTCGCTGGAGGTTTCTTGCTGTTAAAAGGGAGTTTTTCCTCTCCACTGTCGCTACAAGCATGCTTGCTGTGAAAGGTTGCTTTAGAGTCAATGAGTTGATGCAATCAACTGGTTTGTTGAATTGTAGAATGCTTTGAGATGAGATGTTTTGTGAGTTGGCACTATATAAATAAACTGAATTGAAAGTAGGTAAAAAATACATACAAATTCAGGATACTTACTGCTCTGAAGTTCAGTTTACAGACTAAAACAGTACATTAAAAAGCTGATACCAATGTTATCTAAAAAAATAAAATAAAATGTTTTTTCAGCTCAACTTAATAGTTCAACTTAAACCATTAAAGTTTATTAACTCTATCAGTTTGTTCAAATCATTTGAGTTAAACTTCATTATAAAATTTTACAGTGTAATGCAAGCCAGCATAACTAACAAACTCTTCTAGATGGGCCTCGAAACGTATTCAGAAAAATGGAGTGAAAGCCTGCAATTTTTACATTACTGTATAAAAACTCAAACTCAACGTTATTCCTGACATTTTGAATTGATCAAACCTTTCTGGATGGGAAGCGAAACATCTTCAAACTTGGAAAGGAAGTCCAGTGGATTGCTTTTAATTTTCTTTTTTTTGAATGACTATGACCTGGATGACTGAGAACTTTCAGCAGCAGCTGTAACTTATATGATCTTCCAAGCTGAGATGTCCTTGTAGTTAAAAAAAAATTCTATCTGCGTGGTGTGGAAACTCAGGCTGTGCAGAGGTGCAATGGTGCTAAAATTAAGTAATTTTTCCAGACGGGCAACCCTTAACCTGGCTTAAGTTAGCGTGATGTGCAGCATTAGTTGCAAGCTGACCTCCTCTGACCACATACCCCATCCCTAAAACATGGTGCTAGAAAAAAGCACTGCTAATAATCCTGCATGATCATTTGAAAGTATGCCAAAAGTGTTAGTTTGGTCTTATCTGACAGATTCAAAAGATTTGCTGTGTCTCCTGAATGACTCCAAAGAGGACTACATATGATTCTCTCAGTTCCCTTATTATTTATTAGTTATTGCAGGTATACTCTTTTCGTTGGTGTCTCCATTGGTTTGATCATACCATTGTCCAGAAGTGACAGTTAAAACATGTCCAACAATCCTATCCTGATTGTGGAAGTTGAGTCACAAAAAAACAGCACAAACACAGCACTCCTCTGGCAATGTTATCAAAAGCTCTCCCTATGAAAATAACAGAGCAGGGATTATAAACGACTGTATAATAGGATTAATCCAAAATTGCATGATTGGGGTTTCTGCTGGGGGAATACCACAGAATACCCTGTGGAGGCAACCTAAAGACACACAAGGAGGTACACTTGTGGAGATTTGACTAAATCCAAGTACTATTTTTTTTGTTGGAGTGTGGTAACATTTCTATGATGGGGAGAAAAGAAAAAAAAAATAGTCACTGTATTTCAAAGCACCTTAAACTGGCTGGCTCCTTAACTCATCACAGCAATGGTAAAAGGAGAGGAAACCCTGCCATGTCTGCGTTCTTACCTTGGATACTTTGCAGCCAAGCTGACGTTTGCTGTGAATTCCTACGTCCGGGCCATGACAGAACAAATGATACTTAAGTGGCGTAAAATTGTCTACCCTGTGGTCTGTACCTCGTTGCTTCCTTCTCGTCTTCTTTCAAGCCTCCCACCACCCTGCAACCCTCTTCTCCATGCAGCCTGCTGATCCACGGTAAAGCGTGAGGGAGCAGCTAGAGACAGCAGCATCAGCAGCAGAGTCGTTTCTGTCTTAGGATTGTCCACACGCGTGCACACACTGAGAGCCTTCCTAATTGGCTTGTTCCAACAACCAGGAATGACTAATAAATCAAGGGACTGGAATCACCTCCTGTGCTCCATTGATCCAGTAAGAGGACAGCAAGCAGAGGCAGAGAGTGCAAGAACGTGTGAGAGAGGGAAGAAATAGTGTGTGAGGGAGACAGTGATCGAGAGCAGAAAGAGAGAGAGAGGGAAACGGAGGGAGGGAAGGGGAGCATTCTGTGTGTCAGCTCATTTGTATTCAATGCTTGTTTTGCCTCTTCATCCCTGCTTTTCTCCATCCCTCTATCTATCTTCTCCCTTTATCTACAGTTCATCTCTCCATCCGTTTCCATTCCTCAGCTCTTCTTGGCTGTGAACCTGACCCAGACAGGGGAGAAAAGAGTGATGAAAGACTTCTGCAGAAGTGGCAAGAGAAAAGGAAGAGAGTTAATGACACATGGCTACTGATACAGCAATGCAGGAGCAGATGCTACACCACAGAGCAGACAAAGACAAAGGTTGGCAACTGAACATAGGACATACAAATCTTTCGATATAGAGTGTCAATAAAGCTATAGCTCTTCACAAGCTGTTATGATATAAAATCAAATTAATATACATTCTCTTGCTGCATGTTTCATGTTTTTCTGCAGAAGTCATTGTGAATAAATCATCGTTGCAAGATCAGTGTTTTCTGCATCAGTAACCCAAACAGACAACTTGAACTGCAATAATTGTTTGCAAATACGTCTGAGCACTACATGAGAGTTGCAGTGTTGCCAATGTTTCTTTCTGTTTCGCTCACACAGGATTCGACTAACTACTTAAAGCCCTCAAAAAGCTGTGAGGGCTTTTAATATACAGCTAATCAAAAACAAGTTAAAGACAGTAGCAGAAAGCAGTGCAATGTTGTCTCATTGAAATCCAGTCATCCTCCGCAGATGGCCGCTCACACTAAGCCTGGTTCTGATGGAAGTTTCTTGCTGTTAAAAGAGAGTTTTTCCTCTCCACTGTCACTCCACTGTTTAGTGTAAGGGATTGCCTTTGAGTCAATATGTTGATGCAATCAACTGGTTTTCCTTAGATAAAAAACTTTGAATCAATTTGACTGATGATCTGGAGAATTTTAAACTGCCTTGAGATGACATGTGTTGTGAATTGGTGCTATAGAAATAAACTGAGTTTAATTTAATTAAAGTTTTGGAAGAAAATTGAATCTTCCTACTTCCTACCAAGACAGTCAACAACCACTTTCACCCAGATAGATCGATCACTCAATCAATCAATCAATCCATCCATCATTCCATCCATCCATCCATCCATCCATCCATCCATCCATCCATCCATCCATCCATCCATCCATCCATCCACCCACCCACCCATCTATCTATCTATCTATCTATCTATCTATCTATCTATCTATCTATCTATCTATCTATCTATCTATCTATCTATCTATCTATCTATCTATCTATCTATCTATCTATCTATCTATCTATCTATCTATCTATCTATCTATCTATCTATCTATCTATCTATCTATCTATCTATCTATCTATCTATCTATCTATCTATCTATCTATCTATCTATCTATCTATCTAGATAGTATCTATCTATCTATATATATCTATCTTTGCCAGATCTGCCCTGTGATTAAGTTTAGGAATGGTTTCTTTCAGCTTTACATTTCTCAGATTCAGACCCAAAAAATCTACAAAGCAAAATGAAGGTGAACAAGAGTAAAAGTTTTGAGCGTTGGTGCCAACTTGATGAAGCAAGGGAGCTCAGAGGCCAGGTAATGGTTGTCCCTTCTCTTTAACAGAAAGGTTAGTCAAATGTTTGGTATTGGTTAGCATTAGCAGACCTGGCAACCAGTTGGTGAACAGTAGAGAGGGTGAAACCAAGATTACCACATGGGGTTTAACATAGGGGTTTAACTTGTAGCTATTACCTTTCATGTGGACAAACGAATACAGTCTCAATTGTACATAATAGAGATTGTAATGAGGAGATGAGGAGAAATTAGGGCAAGAATGAAATGTTGAACATCTACATACAAAAGCTTTCAAGGGGTAGGAATACTTTTTGAAGAAACTGGATATTCTATTGACAGATCCTGATCAGATACAGAGTGGGGATACTTTGTATCAAAATCAGCAAATATTCTTGTAAAATTAAGCTGCTGAGGCCACTTGATTCTATTATAAACCATGCCTGGGGGCTGATGTGAACCCACAGTGACGGCTGAGGAAGTGAGGAAGTGTCCTTTGCTCTCCTCACTTTGGCCCGGCATAAAATTAAATTCTCTCTGCTAAATCCTGTTGTAAACCAAGCCAGCTGCAGTTTTGTTCTATATCTATTCAGGTTTACAGCGAGGATACATTTTTACAAACTGCCATGTCCTGTTTTCTTTTATCCATCACACATACTTGTGATCCACATAATTTCCTTTAATCTCAGGTGGATTTCAGTTCTTTTTTTCCTGCCTCCCCAGTGCAAAAAAAAAAAAAATGTTTTGCAATGGGGAGGTTGGAATTGTGTGCCACAAAGAAAGTCAGGACTCCTCAAACTACTGTTTGAAAGGAGCACACGCCTACGTTAGTTCATCCCCACCAGCTTCATGAATCAATATGGTTAAATCTGGATTTGTCTCTGTGTTATCCCAAATAATGCTCTAAGGAACCTTCACATCCTAAAATATACCCCGTGCTGTTCTGCTTCTCATTTGTCTGAAAGCATCAGAAAAAGGTTGATGTTTAATGACTCCTAGGTCTACTCCTAGTCCTAAGCTTGTGCTTCCACCTCATGCCCTAGTATCTGATGTCTCCAATGATCGTCTTGTGACATTAGGAAGTTGAGGCAGAGGCATTTTTTATAAGAAATAAGGTTAAAATGTATTTAAAGTCCTCAGACAGAGAGATAGAGCTCTGATTTAGGCATTTCAGTATATACATTTATACCTTACAAAATCACACACACTCCCCCCAGGGGAATCAACCCACACCCTGCATAAAGAGCTTTCTCACACTTGAGCATCGAAGCAAAAAAACTCGAGTTCATCAGGGCTATTCCCTGTTAGGTTGATATATCTTTTGCTGGCCAGATGGATGTCCTGAAAACAACAATCCTTCCCTTCATGCCATGAAGGAGGCTGTGTAACTCACTCTTATCTTTCATGGCTCAGGCTTGCTAACCATAACTGGCAAACACTCTGGCGCTGGAGTGTTGCTCTGCCTCTCCTTAAATTCTGGTCTCCTGATGAGCAAATGAGCCGCAGGTGTGAAGTCAGCTCCAGCTCCAGGAGACCTTGAACGCCCTCTGTAGGAGAAAGGTGGACAGACCTCCAGATCCCAACACTGACCACAAGGGTCAAATAAAAAAAACAAAATATTATACATGTGGCTCATGATCAATAGGGAAACAGGAGAGTAGTTCATCCCCCTCTGAATGTAGAAACAGGCTGCAGCTGCAGTGTTTTGGAGGAAGGAGGGGTTGGCTCACTAACTACTTGCTGAAGACCAAGGACCAATTTCTCCAACAAGATAGGAAATGATTTTGCCGCTAGTTGATAAAAAAAGAATAGAAAAATATATATATCTGAAAAGTCGATAAGTATGTCGCTGTGGTTGCAACACCATGCTCACCTGCCTCGGTGAGCTGATGGCAGTATGGCGCAGGGTTTATTTCACAGAGCTTCCCTCATGTTTAGTAGCAATTCAAAGTTTTCCCACTTTCATTAATAGGGTCTTGGATGGTCCCTAGTTGGTCCCCAAAGATTCCTTTTTTAAACATCAATCTTTGCACTAAAATATTCTGTCATGATTTGTGGACATTAAGATCTAAAGAAAAGCAGCATCTCCTGGTCAGACCATGTAATAAGTAAAAGGGTGGAGTCAGAGGAAAAAACTATGCAAAAGGGGGTCACTCCAGTGGCTGGAAGCTGGCTGCCATTCGGCTATTGTTTGACTGGGACTTTTTACTTCTACTCCTTACATTTTTACACAAATATCTGTACTTTCTACTCCTTACATTTTAAAAAAATTGGCTCGTTACTTTAGTTTTGAATCATTTCAATGGAGTTACCGTTATTATTTTTCACGTCATCAATACCAAGTTCAATCTAATTGGATGGGAATCTACGTTGCCTTTGATGCACCACTACAAGATGAATCGACAGATTCGGTGGTATTCATTCGCGGCAAATCATTGCAGCTTGGAGGCGGTGGCGTTAGCATAGTAGTATGATTGACGAGATGATTGAAAATGAACACAACGGAGATCTAGTCCTATTGGCAGACATCCATTTAAAATGAAGGCAACGGCATGAAAAAAGTGGTTTCTACTTTTACTTTTATACTTTAAGTAAATTTACAAGCCTGTACTTTGTTACTTTTACTTGAAAAAAGAAGTTTAATCAGTACTTCCACTTTTACCAGAGTATTTTTTAACACAAGTATCTGTACTTTTACTCAAGTACGGAAAGTGAGTACTTTTGCCATCTCTGCTCCTGAGTTACATTAACGCACAACCAACTGTGTATATAATATAGCTATACACTATCACTATATATTTCATATAGTATATTATATGATATATTGTATATATCTATAGATTATGTATTCTGTAAATAAATATATATATATATATATATATATATATATATATATATATATATATATATATATATATATATATATATATATATATATATATATATATATATATCTCATTGACTTGAAGGCAATCCCTCACATTAAGCATGCTTGTAGCGACAGTGGAGAGGAAAAACTACCTTTTTACAGAAAGAAACCTCCAAAACAACCAGACTCAGTGTGAGCGGCCATCTGTCGAGGCCAACTGGGGTTCAAGGAGACAGAAGCAGAGATACAGAAAGAAGTAGAGATACAAAAGGCAACTGTAAACCAGCTCCACAGGCGGCCCCATCCAGGAAACACACAGCCAAGCAGATGACCTCCGAGCCAGCTTCCATGTCAGAGGATGAAGAGGGCACATCCAGCCAGTCACAGTCATCAATCTCGAAACATCTATAAACAAAGGTGTTAATGGCAGCAAAACAGGTGGTATTTCTCTCCAGGATGGTGTCACAGACCAACAGGAACAGACTAGATGAAGCTACTATGAGAAAAAGCAGACAGAGCATAAACTGATTCTGAT